GCAAGGTCATGCAACATTGTACCGATATGAAATTTGTATACATTTTTTCACATAAATGGAGCTTTCTTTTGGTGGTATTTAATTGCCACTGGGTGTTTAATTTTTTTTACTATAAACAAAAACAAAAAAAAAAAAAAGTTTTTCTTTGTTTCTATTATAGAATTTTGCAAACAGGTAATTTTACTCCTTCACTGATGTGCATTGATGAGGCTGCACTGATAGGCACTGATGATAGGTAGCACTGATGGGCAGTGTGAGAAAAGTGATAAAATATAATAGTGGTGTGGCGCTGATAACTAAATGTGCAAACTCCACAATAATAAGATAAAAAACATAAATCACATAAATGAATGAATATAAATATATAAGTGATAGATCTTTCAAGATCTAGAAAAACATTGTCTCAAACTGTGATATTATCAGTACACAGTGCATATGATGAAGCTGGTGCTATGCCCGGACCCTCATACAATGACAATACCCAGTCCCACTTGGGACCAAACCCCAAAAACCTAGGTGCTATATACAGTGCTATATACAGTGGATTCCAAAATAAGGGATATGATCACAAAGTGAATGATATATAAAGTGTATCCCAAAATTGTGAACCAAATAAAGTGACTAGTCAATAATGTTAAACACAATATATAAACATAAATGCATAAAACGATAAAAAGTTTCCAGCAAATTGCCAAGAATAGCAAAGATGGCAATTACTGCCAAAATGTGCCTATATCTTCAAACCACGTGCTATAGTGCTGGTGCAGATGGTAAGCATATATCCTTAGATGGCAGGCATGCCCCCTCACCGCCTTGCTGAGACCCAAAAGGGTCAACACGCCTTTTGGATCACTGTGGATCCCACAGGTACCAACTCTCCAGGTCACTCTGATTCCACTGAACCTCACTGGTAACTTCATTAACGCAGATCAAACAAGGCTTGTCACACCACTCAATATGGGTGTACCGTGTAAACCTGGTGTAGCAAGATAGCGCTCCGCCGGAAGTGCGTCACCACGTCGTATCTACGCCAGGGGTGGACTGACCATTCGAACACTCGGGCACTGCCCAGGGCTCGGGGTCAGTATGGGGCCCCATGAAATGCCCCTGGTACCTTTTTATAGGCTTTTTTGGGTGTGCTTTGAATGTGGGCAAACACAACAGGGGCCCCATGATCCCCTATTGCCCAGGGGCCCCATGAGTTGTCAGTCCACCCCTGATCTACGCGTTGCGTCACGTACACGTGACATCCTCAGGATAGTGTCATCCTGAGAGATTTGGTGCTTTTTCCCTGCACGTGCTGTGTTTTCAAGTGTAAATTGATTATAGTAAAAAAAAGAGCATATGGGAATGTTTTTGAAAAAAAATAGTTAACCACTTGCCCTCCAGAGGATTTACCCCCCTTAATGACCAGGCCTCTTTTTGCTACTCGGCGCTGCACTAATTCAACTGATAATTGCTATACCCAAACTAAATTTACGTCCTTTTTTTCATACAAATAGAGATTTCTTTTGGTGGTATTTGATCACCTGTGCGCTTTTTATTTTTTGCGCTATAAACAAAAAACATTTTGAAGAAAAACAATATTTTTTTTTTACTTTCGGCTATAAAAAATATATAGTAAACTCAAAGGTAGTTATAAATTTAGGCCAAAATGTATTCTACTACATGTTTATGATAAAAAAAATCCAAATAAGTGTATATTGATTGCTTTGTGTGAAAGTTAGAGCGTCTACAAATACTATGGTATAGATACTGCAATTTATGCCATTTATTTGCTATACAGCGCTGCACTAGTTTAACTGATAATTGTGTGGTCATGCAATACGGTACATAAATTAAATTTTCACACAAATAGAGCTTTCTTTTGGTGGTATTTGATCACTTGTGCACTTTTTATTTTTGGTGCTATAAACAAAAACATTTTTGAAAAAAACTATATTTTCTCATTTCTGTCATAAAAAATATCCAAAAAACTTAAATTTCCTCATAAATTTAGGCCAAAATGTATTCTGCTACATGTTTCTGGTTAAATAAAATCCCAATAAGTGTATATTGAATGTTTTGTGTGAAAGTTATAGCGTCTACAAACTATGGTATAGATAATGGAATTTACACAGCTTTTACTTTCTGATTGCTCATCACATTTCTTGAGGTGCTAAAATACCAAAATAGTACAAACACCCCCAAATGACCCCTTTTCGAAAAGCAGACACCCTAAGCTATCTGCTGAGAGGCATATTGAGTCCATGGAATATTTATTTTCTTTCCACAAGTTTCTGGAATATAACAAAAACATTTTTTTTTTTTTTTTGCACAAAGTTGTCCTTTAAATTATATACTGTATTTCTCACACAAGCCATGGGTATATGTGGAATTACACCCCAAAATACATTCTGCTACTTCTATCGAGTATGGGGGGTAGAGTATGGGGGTACCACATGTGTGAGACTTTTTGGGAGCCTAGCCACATATAGGAGCCTGAAATCCAATGACCACTTTGAAATCCTGAAGGTGCATAACTTCCTCATTTCACTTCCTCACTACCTATCACAGTTTTGGAGGCCCTGAAATGCCAGGATAGCACCCCCTCCCCCCAAATGAGCCCTTTTTGGAAAGTAGACACCCCAAGGAATTTAAAAAGAGGCATGGTGAGTATTTTGCAGATCTAATTTTTTTCACAAGGTTTTGAAATATAAAAAAATAAAATAAAAAAATATGTTTTTGTTTTCTTTCAAAATACTCACCATGCTTCTTATCAAATTCTGTGGGGTGTCTACTTTCCAAAAAGGGGTGCTATCCTGGCATTTCAGGGCCTCCGAAACTCTGATAGGTAGTTAGGAAGTTTAATGAGAAAATAAAGCCCTTTAAATGCCTGAAGGTGCTTATTGGATTTTGGTGTCCTGTACTTGGCTAGACTGCCAAAAAGTCTCTCACATGTGGTACCCCCATGCTCGAGAGAAGTAGCAGAATGTATTTTGGGGAGTAATTCCACATATACCCATGGCATGTGTGAGCAATAAATCATTTAAGTGATAATTGTGCGTAAAAAAATTTTTTTTTTGTCATTTTCCAAAAACTTGTGGTAAAAAAATTTAATTCTTCAATTGATTCAACATGCCTCTCAGCAAATAGTTTGGGGTATCTACTTTCCATAAAAGGGTCGTTTTGGGGGGGGGCATTTTGTGCCCAGCATTAGAGGTTTATGCCACACATCACTCACTCTTGAAACCACCTGAAGATCAAGCCTTTTCTGACACTTTTTGTTCAGATGAAAAAAAAAATCTGTATTTTTTGCTAGGAAATTAATTAATTTAAACCCCCAAACATTATATATATTTTTTTAAAGCAAACACCTAGTGAATAAAATGGTGGGTGCTGCAATTTTTTTATGTCACATAGTACTCGTGCAGCGATTTTTCAAACGCAAATTTAAAAAAAAAATACACTTTTTTTTACTTTTAATGCACAAAAGCATAATATATTGGCCAATTATTTGGTAAGATATAAAAGATGATGGTATGCCAAGTAAATAGATACCAAACTTAACATGCCTTAAAAGTTCTCATGCCCCATGCAATGCAAACTGCATACGTTTTTAATATCCATAGGCAACTCTTTAAAAGCCTTTATAAGCTACCATTTTAGATTGACAGAGGAGGTCTAGTGCTATTATTACTGCCGTTGATCTGCCGTTCGCGGCAATACCTCACATGCATGGTGCAACTGCTGTTTATATACTGGCACAGGGTCAACACTCGTGGTGTGCGCGCGGGGGAGAGGGTGCTTTTTTTTTCAATGGGCATTGTCATATTCTTTTTTGAGAAGTCTGGGGTCTATTAGACTCTAGATGTCTCCTCTTCCCTTACATTATCTATTCTCCCCAAGATCGATGTGATCACATGCTTTCCCAATTTCAAAATGGCGCTTTTTATATCCTGTGAAACTGAAGTGATGAAATGCTTGTAGCTTCTGATTTCTTACACTATAGAGATGATTGGCACCATTCTGGTCTCCAATCAGCTCTATGGTCAGCTGGCAGAAACACCGGCTGCATTCTCAGGTTCCCCTGATGGCATGGGACTGCTCGAAAAGGCCGTGGAAGGCAGTGGGGGAGGGGGGGCATCATCTCCCGCTGCTTTTAAAAGCAATCCTGCAGATAATTAGCCACTAGGATTGCTTTTACATGAAAGACAATCGCCGGCTGAAAAAAATTATACCAGGATGATGCCTGCAGCTGTATGCATCATCCTGGTATAACCATTCAAAATCCAGTGATGTACCAGTACGTCGCTGGTCCTTGCTGGGTTTATATGCTATGTTCTTTTTTTTGTATGCAGCCTGTGGGCTGAATGAAAAAAATAGATGAAATCTCTGCCAGAAAAAGTGTGTGGTATGCCCACCATTAGAATATACAGCCCTGCATCCACCCACTTCTAATGGTGGGCACACATTAGGTCGCACAGTGCCACATGCGCCAATTCCAAGATTGAAGAAATGTCTAAATAGTGGCACGCTTTAATAAAATTGTCCACGTATAAGTGGTACCTCATATGGAAAAGGATGACACCAAGTACCAAACTATCTTGCCACTACTCTCCATGTAGTCTGGGCATACGGGGGGCTCAACGTGACTATATTTTCCTTCGTAAATCAGAAACTTATATGTATAGCCTGTTGCTTTCTCACAGGTCTTATACATCTTGACCCCCATATCTGGCACACTTGCTGGGATGAAATTGTTTGACTGCAAGGCTGCCAGAAAAATTAATGAGGGACTCAACAACACAGATGTTTTGGTGGGGAGTATAGACATCTGCAAATTTTTGGTTAAGGTGATTTTGTGGAGTAGGTCAAATTCAGGGTCACCCCAAGGATGGGGTGTGTTGTCGTTGAAATGCATAAAACACATTATACTCGCATATCTATGCTTGGCCATGGCAGCAGAGAACACAGGCTTATGATGACTTGGATCTGTGGACCAATACAACTGCAATTCATTTTTTTAGTAATGCCCATGTTGAGGGTTAGGCCCCCAAAAAATGTAAATTCTGAAACCGTATTGGGTTTCCATGCGAATGTTCTGGCAAGGTTCGAATTTGGGTTGGGGGCAATAAATTGTTGTGCATATAAATTGCTTTTATCCACAATCAATACATACAGATCTTCCGTGAAAAACAGCTCCACAAAATCAAGGGGAGTAGTTAAATTTGCTGTTTCCACCTGAATTCTGGATTGGGCAATGAATGGGGGAAGTACAGGTGCTGCAGAATTTGTGGGCTGCCAATCAGGTTTTGCAAGCACGTCTGGAAGGACAATAGGGGCTCTACGGGCTTGTGTGTGAATTCTTGGTGGCTGCTGGACAATACTTGTGCTAGCCACCACACCAACTTGTACTGCACTTATGGGACTTGCCACATCTCCAAGTGATACTGCAGTGCTGGTATGTGAAAGACCAATTAAAAAATTAATCAGGGACTCATCAACGCAGATTTTTTGCTGGGGAGTATAGACATCTGCAAATTTTTGGGTAAGGTGATTTGCGAGGGGCTGAATTTTGTGGAGCCGGTCAAATTTAGGGTCACCCCGAGGATGACAGAGTGTATTGTCGTTGAAATGCATAAAACACATTATACTCTCATATCTATGCCTGGCCATGGCAGCAGAGAACATAGGCATATGATGAATCGGGTCTGCGGACCAATACAACCCATAATTCATTTCTTATAGTAATGCCCCCATGTTGAGGGTTAGGCCTCAAAAAAATGTAAATTCAGAAACCGTAATGAGTTTCCATGCGACTGGTCTGGTTTGAATTTGGGTTGGCGGTGATAAATTGTTGTGCATATAAATTGCTTTGATCCACAATCAACTCATACAGATATTCCGTGAAAAACAGCTCCAAAAATCAAGGAGGTATGTGAAAGACAAAGATGTACTAGACCGCTGGTACTCGCCAGTTCACCAAAAGGTAGAGAGGCACTAGTACTGGCACTCTGCTGCATATGAGAGTCATCAAAATTTACCGGCAACTGCTAGCAGAGATCAAGCCTGATTCTGCGAACACTGCGGTTTTGTGTGCAATGTATCAAGTGACAGTGACCTACTGACTCTGCACTTGCTGGGGGAGAAGGGGGGGGAGGTAAGCGAGGGGGCTAAACACAGGTGCTGACAGGTGCCGGGGCTGATCCCGCTAACGCTGCATTTTTAGGGATACTATACTAATATGAACGCTGGTATAGTCTGATCAAAGATATTGATCTGTTCAGACACTATACTAGCAATAGAGGTTTATTGTGTATGAGTGTGTGTTCCTGGCAATCAAGGGGTTAAATGTGATTACTGGTGTACTGACGAGCAATCTGATGCTATCTGGGAGGGGCGTGAAAACCATGGGAGCATGAATCACATATATATACGTGATTTTGCGCACCTGTTGCCTTGTAGCAGTATTTCTGCTATAGGGCGGTCAGGAAGCAGTTACAGAAGCGGTTTGCGCTACGGAGTTGCGTTACTTTAACTGACAATTGTGCAGTCATGCAATGCTGCACCCAAATGAAACTTATGTCCTTTTTTTTTCCCCATGAATACAGCTTTCTTGCGGTGGTATTTGATCACCTGATCACCTACCTGGAAATGCAGGATCGTGTTTATATACGTGCTCCTGCGCACAGGGGCCACCTAGTCACAGTATATGTACTGTAGGTGGTCCCATAGTGGTTAAAAAACATAAATGTGCATAAACACATTTGCAATATGAACCATTACGAGTGTTTTATGCTGCGTTTTCTGTCAGAGGTTCTAGCATTGTTTCAGGTGCCTAGTGTGCATGGACCCTTAGGAGTCACTTTGTGCTACTTTTTTGGAGTAATGAGGCAGACTAGAGAAAACTGTCTCTTTGAGCCTGTCTGCACCCACCCTCAGTGTACCTTGTGCAACTATGTCATCTACCCAGTCACTGGGTCGGGGGGGGTTTGAACAAATCAGTTGGCCTGGAGGGGAAGAAAGTAAAAATCTGGTCCTGCTTTTGACAATGCTATAGATTGCCTTCTTAAAACAGAGGGTATCATGCTACGGGGCTGAATGTAAACACAGTTTTTGAACTTTGATTACATCTGTGTGTCATCTCTTGAAAAAAGAGGAATTGAGTGTGAGTGGGATTGTCTTGGCTGCCACCAAACCTGGCATTAGAATACTTTACTGCCACTTTTTAATGATTTTCTTCTGTATTTGATCTAACAGCATGTTGTCAGATCCCATGTCGGTATATGAACAAATAAATTATTTTTAACAAGTTAAAGTGGAATTCCAGACTTGAACTAACTAAGCTTGAACCTGCTGCCACCCACCTCCTAAATCCTATACTAATTACCTTGTATAGAAGGATGCTTATACTTACCTATTTGCAGGGTGCTCTGGTCCAGTCACGTGATCACCTCCCAGCGGTCGACCAAGAGAGACTGAGGACAACGCGTGGAATGCCTGGACGGTGATGTCACCCATAGGCAAGCAATGTGTTTTTGGAGCGTTGCACTCGTTCCTGCACGTTTGTCAAATTTTGGTGAATGCAAGTGTCATAAAAAAATGTGACTTGTATGCAGAACAGGTGTCAATACCTGTCTATAATTTTTATCTGAGCATTTTGTAGCTCGAAGCTCCAAAACGCTCAGGGATAAAAAAAAATCAATTATTCTCTATGGTGGTGGTTTACATCTCCACTCCAAAACTTCTGAAGCCAAGTGCCTTAAGCTCAAAAAACGCTTTGGAGCTACTTTTGTAGCTCGAATCAGGCAGTTTGGTGTGATTTTGAAGCAGCTGAAAGCAGAAACATTTAGCAACAAATGATGTAACAGATGACAGTTTTTTCTATTGGATAGTACAAAAATACCAAAGCTCTAAAATGCTTGGAAAAAGCTGTACAAAAAGCACTCAAATAAGCGCAATAAAAACACTACAAAAAACACACTCACACAAAACGCAATGCTCAGGTGTGAATGCAGCATTAAGAACATTTGTGTGATACTCTGATTGCCCCCCCTTCACGAAAAAAACAAAACAAAAAACACACAAACAAATATATACCTTTCATGTAAGACAATGTTATTACCCAAATCATAATAGGCAAAAAATAAAAAATAAATAAAAGTTAAGGCAGATCTAATTCTTAATAGCCCACACCTGCCAGGATTTAAAAAAACAAACAAAACAACATGATTCTTTGACCTCCCGAAAGATCTGTGTGAATTAGTAATCTGCACTGTATATGTAAACAGCATACATAACAGAGGAGTCACGCTGGCAGGGCTATCACTGAGAAATATGAAGTGTGGGTGGATCTCTGTAAAGGACGTGTGGACACTCTCAGTATAAAACAAGCAGCTGACTGCAACCAAAGTTCCTGGTTTACCAGAGTTCTTTTGTCGGAGCAAATAGAATACCTCACCCAGGAACCCATGTACGTGTATACATACAATCTCCATACACGTGCTCATACAACCTATGCATGAATTCTATCATGAATGTAGTTCACCATGATCACACCTTGTAGAAGATAAGAGTATTAAAGGTATACGTAAACCAAACCTCTGCAATCACTAAAATTATTATTATTATTATTATTATACAGGATTTATATAGTGCCAACAGTTTGCTCAGCGCTTTACAATATAATGGGAGACAATACAGCAACAATACAGTTCAATACAAGAGGTAAGGAGGGCCCTGCTCCTTGGAGCTTACAATCTAAGAGGGAGGGGCTAGTGGTACAAAAGGTAGTAACTGTAGGGAATGGACTGGTAGGAGGAATAGAAGATTCCAATATTAGCTGAGAGCAGGATAGGCTTCCCTGAAGAGATAGGTTTTCAGAGATCGCCTAAAAGTGAGCAGAGTAGGCGATAGTCTGATAAATTGGGGTAGAGAGTTCAAGATGATGGGGGAAGCTCTGGAAAAGTCCTGGAGATGAGCATGGGAGGAGGAGACAAAGGAGCTAGAGAGCAGGAGGTCGTGCGAGGCGTGGAGAGTGGTTTTGAGTGATATTTGGAGATAAGATTGGTGATGTAATTTGGGGCAGAGTTATAAATGGCTTTATGTGTTATTGTTAATGTCTTGATTTTTTTTTATGTATATCGTGTTATATATATAAGATTATATGCCTCATTTTATATTAAAAGTCATTTTCTGTATTTCTTTGCTTTCAATAAAAAATACTGGATGATCCTGCAATAAGGGCCTGCGCAAGCACATTCTATTGAAGAGTGATGGTGATCTGTCCCTGTCTCCCAATGGGTTTTTTGCATTGTTACCCCTGCCGGAGACAATAAACTGCCCTGTCAACGCTCATTGCCTAGGCATGGTCCACAGTTGTCACTGTTGGCAAACCCATCCTGACGGCCAGTTCACACTACATGTGTTTCAGTTGCTTTTTTTTCTGCATCCAAAATGCACAGAGTAGGTTATATGGTTGTCATTGTCATAGTTCCCATCAGTGCTTGTATTTTCAGTGTGCTTCAGTTTAAAAAAAAAAAAAAAAAGTAGAACAGGCTGCATTTTTCCTGCACAGAACTGTACTTGAATGCAGTAAAAACGCATAAAAAATGCACCAGAATGCACATGTCCCTATTTAAATTGAAGAAAAAAAGGGGAAAAATGAACTGTAAAACATAAAAAACACACCGGAATGCATCAATAACACATCAAAAAACACACCGGAACATGACAGAAACGCATCAAAAATGCACATGCAGAAACGCATCCGAAACAGATCTGGACTGCGTTTCTATAGTGTGAACCGGCTCTAAGAAATTGGCTTCAAAAAGGCTGCAGAAAGTCAGCAGTAATTTGCAACAATAGATGAAAAAAGAAAGCAGTTTTTAAAAAAATGACAGTTGTTTATTTTTTCTGATACACAGGGGTTTATTTACTAAACCTGGAGAGTGCAAAATCCAGCTAATTTCTGCATAGAAACCAATCAGCTTCCAGGTTTTATTGCCAAAGCTTAATTGAACAAGCTGAGGTTAGAAGCTGATTGGTTTCTACTGTATGCAGAAGTGAGCCTGATTTTCACTTTCCAGCTTTAGTAACTAAACCGTGTAGTGCTTCAGCAAACTAAATGACTTGAGTTAAAGTAGTTCTAAAGGCAGAAGGTCTTTTGTTACCTTAATACATTCTCTGCATTAAGGTAAAAAACCTTCTGCATGAAGACCCCCCCTTATATATACCTGAGCCCGAACTTGATTCAGCAATGTGCACGAGAGCAGAGGCTCTTTCCCTCCTCAATGGCTCAGACACAGTGGCCAGAATCATTTGTTCCTGCTGCTGCCAATCACAGCCAGGGAGGAGGGAGCAGAAGGCAGGACTGAGCTCCCGGAATGAACCCGCACTAGTACCCCCATAGCAAGTGGCTTGCCATGGGGGCGCTCACACCGGGTGCGAGAAGCCAGTAATGCCAGTAGGGTACCCAAGAAGCATGCACCAGTGTCCCCATAGCAAGCATCTTGCTATTAGGGGCACTGATCAAAGGGGAATAGCCAGGAGTACTGGCGGGGGGCCCGAGAAGAGGAGGATCGGGGTTGCTCTTTGCAAAAAAAAAGAGCAGATAAGTATAACATATTTTTTGTTTTAATGAAAAAAATATGAATTCATTAAAAATCAACCTCCTGACAGATATAAAAAGACACAAATGAATGCTGCACTGTATTCATGAATGTACTTTTTTGACTTGATATCACATCATGTACACATCATATACAACAGCTCAAACTTTGAGAGGGAGAAGCAGCGCAAGGAGTCAATCAGTTGTGCTGCAGTGCTCATTGTACTAACAAGAAACATTCTGATGGGAGGAGAGAGCAGAGTGAGAGATAAGTGCATGTGTTTCACTAGTCTAGTCACAGGCTGGAGAAGGGACCAGACCTGTGTTACTAAAAGGGGCCCATTCACATCA